CCTAAGAAAGCCAAATAAACATGGTTTTAGATTTGACCTAGAAATATTGAGTCAAGCAACCAACAATCAATTAATATATCGACCTCTTGATTACAAGATTCGAGAATCTCACTCGGTAGTTTTAAACATCAAAAGAATTCGATTCTTGATAAGTTCAATAAACTATTCAACGAAGAACAAAGGATGTGGAAACAAATTGCCTCTTGAGAAATCTCTCAATTGATCATATCAAAAGTCTTCTTTTACGATGAGAATAATGAACCTATTTATAGGAAAATCTAAAAACCTAGTTTAAAATGAAAAACAAGTTTAAAAGATTGCAAAAATATCATAAAAATAGAGTTTTGATGTAATTAGGAAACTTTCGCGAAAAAGGAAAAATTTGCCTCGGACTCGAACTATGCAGTCACATAGTTATAAGTCATGTGGTCTCGTAGTTCATTCTTCGAACTTCAATTTTGGTTCTACTATAGGGTATGCGGTCCCATGGATTTTAAGCTATGCGATTTCATAACTTTATTTTTGGAACCCTTTTTTTTATGTAGAATTTCGTGATGATTCCGGATTATACTCATGGGCAAAAATTCGACTCTCGAGCTGAAAGTTATGCCCCTTTTTTAATCCATGCTACTCGTTTTTCTATATATCTTCCAAAACTTGAGTCCAATGCACCAAATATGATTTTATCTTCATGACCAATATGTAAGTTGTATATGTCATGTGTATAAAGGTACCTACAGTATTTTGTATGCGACGAGGCTCTTGCCTCACCCAAAATTGATGCGACTCCATCATTTTGTGATATCTCTAGATTAACATCATTTATCTCGATCCCTTGATGATTATACCACAACTGAGAAGAGATTGAGGCCCTTTGATTTGGCATCGAAGCCTTCCTTCTATACATTATTTGACCATACCTATATCATGTATCTTCTAATCTTCTGATTTCTTGATCATGGATCTCCTATTTGATTAAATTGACTAATTCATCATATGTTATAGGGCCCAATTGTGAACTTCTCTACAAAACAGAGTTGTCTTGTTTAAATTAGACCTTAAAGCCTTAAAAGTCGTATTTTGTGGAACACCTTCCACATGAATTATTTCTTGGATGAAACAACTAAGATAACTCTTAAGTCTTAAAAGGTTCTATGGGCTTTATCTGATATCATGAATCCTTCATTTTTAGTCATTTGTATGACTTGACATTTTTTGTCATTTATTTGTAATTTATGATTAAATTTCGGTTTCTAAAGCTTATTGATTTTTAATATTCTTGATGTGTTTAGGATTACTCTATTTTTATGTAAAGGCGTGATGAACTAACATCAACATTGATTTATTAAAATTTCGTTGAGATGAGTCTCGTCTAAGTTCAAGGCAATCAGAGGCCTCAAATCTTTTATTAATCAATTTTTAAAGTTCCATTTCTTTGTTTAAATGAGCCTTGATGATTGAGGCATAAATGTTAATTCTAAGACACGTGGGCATGCGATGAGACCCATTTTTCGTACCAAATGTAATATCAAAGTGGAATGTAATAATTTTTGGATTTGACAAATGTTGGAATGCCGAAGTAGAATTATCCAAAAAATAAATAAATAAATAAAATAAAATTTAAAAAAAAATTAATTCAATAAATAAGATTGTCCAAATGTTCAATTTTATGTTATATAAAAAATAAAGACTTCAAATTTTTACCTAAATTCGATGGTCAATTCTTGAATTAATTTTGAATCACGAACTTTCAGCTTTTAATTACAAGGATTTGATGTTTCAAACCTCTAAGTTTTTTATGGTATTCTCTAAAGTCAAGACTAAACCTGTGCGTAAGTACATTCTTTTAATTAAATCAAGAAATTAATTTTTGAATTGGACGAATGATAAAAGTGAGAAAAATAATTTTTTTGCGATTTTCCTCTCTCCAAATTTGAATACTATGAAATTATGAATTATGATTTTTGTAAGATTTCTATTCAATCCCATAGGATGTCTATGTTCCATCTAATTTCTATTTATAGATATAATAATTCCGATCCTTGTATAATAATAATAATTTCACATTCAAATAAGAGTTCTAATAAAAATTCAAGTAGGAGTTTTAATTAAAATCCAAATTCAATTAGTTTACATTTAATTACATGTGTAGTCCTAGAACAACAACTACAATTATAATTAAGTTTATAACTTTTATAGTGATTAGAACTAAGTACAAAACTTATTTGTAATTACAATTAAGTGCAATACTATTATAATTATTGTAATTAAGTTCCAATACTTTATAGAGCTACCACAAAGACCTAATTGGACGTATATTATCCAAACTCCAATAATTAGGTCTTGTCTAGTCGACTATAGACCACCTAATTTAGATGGTGTTTGTGAGCCATTTTTATGTAAAAATACATTTTGGAATAGTAAATTGATGGAAAATGTGTGGTTGAAAAATAAGGAATTTTTTTATTTACGTGTAAAATTAACTTAATGAAGAATGTGTGATTGAAAAGAAGATAGAAAAATGCAATTTTAAAAAATGGGTACCAAACGAGGTCCTAATTATTAGTCTTTGCTTTTTTCATTAAAGACAAAAGACTGAATTCTTGAAATATATAAAATCATGGAAGCCAATAAATCTATAATACTTTCCTCTGACCTACTGTATATGTATTTTATCGCTGCGCGAGATTCGATAATTATGTACGAGTATAAATGACCGCTTTGTCCTAATTATTTTCATTAATTTAAGTTTTATTTTTTTTTCAAATGGTCCTGTGAACTAATCACAAATGGAGAATTATAGTCGTCGCTAAACACTAAGGGCCTGTTTGATTGGCCAAGAATTCCATGGAAAGCGAAAATTTCCATCTTTTACATTGTTTGATTTCATTTTTTTAAATCATGGAAATGGTTTTCCAAGTTCCCCCAACGTGCCATCTTTCCTTCTTTTTAAGGAATTCCAATTCTTATAGGTTTGGTCAGAATTGGAATTTCAGACAACATTTATTTTTTATTTTTATAGCAATGAGAACAAATTCTATGCTTAATTGTAAAAAAATATTTTCTTTTAATTGATAATTTCTATATAAAACAAGGTTAAACAAACACCAAAAGATAGATATTTTTCTTGACTTTTTTTGACAACGAAAACAAATTCTATCCCTAATATCAGTAAATTTTATTCTTTCAATTGACAATTTTCATATAAAACAAAGCCAAATGAACACAAAAAATACTTTTATTTCAACATTTTTCACATGAAAAATTATATCAATCAAATACAATAATTTACAATTTCTAGGAAAACAATTTCTAGGCAATTCAATTCCCTGAAATTCGTTTTCTTTCTATCCAAATTTCATCTTTATAATCAAATGGACCATAAGCTCAGACTTTAACCTGTCAATAGAAAATAATAAAGTAGTCACTCTATCCAATTTTCAGGGTGATGATTCTCAACACAAATTCATGTTCTCTACTTCGCTCATTTTCAAGTTCTCAACTCATCGAGATATAGACCAATCAAATTGATCTTACACATTGATAAATCAAAAAACTATTAAAATCACGAAAAGATATACATAACACTGTCAAAGGATTTAAACAAAATATACAATGGTGAAGTAAAATTTAATCCTCCGTATGGTCGTACTATAGGGCTAAATTCTGTATGTGCTATGTTGAGTACACTCTAAATGCATTAAGGTCATCTTTAACTATTTTTATGATAATGAAATATCACAAATCCGAATAATGAATCGGTCATTACTACAAACTTTCAGTACAAACTGCCAACTTTTATACATTGGTTGTGAACAAATTATTTATGATCAAAATATAAGTTGTGTCATATTGTACTTCTCAACGCAAGTGTCAAACTTATATTATTACAAGTGATCATAGGTACTTTAATTCGCACATTCAATAATAATAAATACAATAAATAAATATTCAATAATAATAAATACAATAAATAAATAAAATCACAATTTATTTATTATAACTTAGAATTTTATCATAGCAAAATATACTATATAGACACACAATCTAACAACAAACATTATAATTGTATTGTGACGGCTGTTTCATTTTGTAGTGTGGTTGGTTATAGGGCCGGGAAAGGAATAAAATATCTCAATTCATTGTCTAGTTTAGATATTTATTTTTGTACTATCATATCTATAATTAATATATTAATTATCACATTAAGTAAGAATTATTTTTTGGATGATTATAGCCCTATTACAATTTAAACATTTCAATAATATCCAAATTTTCGTTTTTCAATATGTATTTAATTTATAGACTGTAACAACTTTTTGTTCATGCATGTATTCCCTATAATCAATTTTCAATTAGTTAGTATCCACATTCAATTAATTAGTATTAGTTATCATTTCACATTCAAATTCACGTCCATGTCCCTATTATTAATTCTCAATTAATTAATATTCACATTCATATAATTAATATTAATTAAAATTTTACATTTAAGAGTGTAGTTCATTATTCACGTCTATGTATGTTAATCACCATATATTTTAACTTACTTGAAAATTAAATTATATTCATTTAGTATAAATGATTTAATGTTCATTTTCATGTATATATATTCGTCGATATTAATTCTAAATTAACGAAAATTCACATTAATTCATGTATTGTATTTGCCATTCATCTTTATTTATGCATTCAGTTGTAAATCTCATACTCACTTTTAAATGCATTTTACTATTTACTTGCATGTATAATAATTACCCTTTTATTTTCGGCTGTTTGCATTTATCCAATATTTAGACGGCCTTGTCTCCGTTTACCTTATGGGGCCGGTCGAGTGCGAGGTTTTGCCATCCGTTAAAGGTTGGGGATTTCATTGCACTTTCTGAAAAGGCTCGAGAACCTGCTACAAATTCCCCTTTATTTGGACCTTCTTCTTCTAATTTTTTTTATTTTTTATTTTTTATTTTTTATTTTGCGTGTTCTTAGGAGTTTTATATTTTTATTTTATATTTTATTTTTGGTGTTCTTAGGAGTATTTAACAGAAAATTACTAGATCTGGCGACTTCTGATACGTAACACGACTTAAGTTGAATTCAGGACAAGACTACCTGATTACAGTGCAGAACTCTATTTTCCAGCCATGAATTCCCTGTCTATACTCCGGTAGTCTCCCTCTCTCTCCCCCCTTCCCTGCCCACTTCCTTCGGAGTGTTCTTTGTTTGAATTTTATGCATATTAAACTGAAAACATGGTGTATTTATTGAAGCAGTGGCCCGTCAATTGCACGAGCTTTGGGTTTAATCAAAGCTTCGAATTCCATTCCCCATAATACAGCTTTTTCTTTCTCTCCTCGTCCTCTTGAATGCCGCAGGTACAGATATTAGTTTACATTGGCCTATAGTTGCTTGTACCCCTTATGCACATTTTGTACCTTTTCATTTCTTAATGTTTAAGTGCTTTATGCCCAGAAATTTAAATTTTTGTGTTGCTGTGTTTCCTTTTAACCAAATAATATTAGCTTGGATTGGAAGCAGAAAATAGAAAAGAAATAGCTTGGACACACTTTGCACAAGTATGTATGTATAGTGGCTTGAAATTGAATTGAATTGGGGGAAATCTGGCATTTTCAAGGAATAGCTCGGTTTTGGAAGTAAAGAATCACTCTCGTGGCCCATAGAAGCTATAAAAATACTGTAGAAATATGGAAAGATATCAAATGAGTCAATAAATTATATTCGAAGAATTATAAGCAAACGCATTGTAAGACTAAAAGCATCTCTCTTCATGTTTACACTTGGGGTCTTGTTTGGTTCAGGGAATCACCTAGAACAGAAAACATCATGTTTACCAGTGACTTTTGTCTTATAAGAGCTATTGATTTTAAAATGGATTTGTTATAATTGATATTGAGTGCTTCAGACAGTGTTGCAGTAGGTCTTTTCTTGTAACTTGTAAGGTGTCAAATGCTCCATGATTGAAATATTAATGTGCTCCTAAACACATATCTATCATTGACTCTGGAGATTGTATTATCCCATGCAAAAATATTTAGACAACAGGCAACATGCTCATGCCGTAATGCTTCTTACAATTTAATCTATCAGTCTCTATGTCCATCAAAATAGATGGTCTTATTAGTAAATATTTCAGTATGCATTGTAAATAGTGAATTGGATAAGCACCTTCTAAGCTCAACTCTAAATGGCTCCACAAGCTCTACAGAAGACTACATAACGTCTATTGAATGAGCAACAGTAGCTTGCTTAGTTAGTAGCTTGCCTCGAGGAGTATAGAACACTTATTTTCCTTTTATAAATAGAATTCATGACTAGTGATGCACTGTGTATTGTAAGCAAGATCTCTTCATTGTCAGTATGGTAAATCAAGTATTAATAAATCAATGACATTGTGCGCATAAACTCTGACTCAATCTGAGATTGTTTTTGAGGATTTTGGATATGTAGAAGAGGTTCAATGAAAGTGTTGCAATTACCTCTCTTGTGTCACTGCACATTGAGATGGGAGATATTGACAAAGATGGTACCAGCATGACCATTGGCAGTGCAGACAATAAGCTTCTCCACTAGCTAGTTATGAGATAGTGGAAATTGACTCTGATGGAATCAATGGAAGGCTTCCAAGAGTGAATTAAAATTAGGGAAAACAGAACACAAGTAGCAGCAGCAAAAATAGCAACAAAGGAGTAGATAACCACTGCAAGATGAAGAATCAAGGAAGAAGAGAAGCAAGAAAGGGGGAGAAGACTGGAGAGAATGGAGGGAGAAGCAGGAGAGGAAAACATTGGCAACAAACCACGCACAATTCTAATTCATCAATGCTTTAAATAGAAAAATAAACTTAAAGACAAAGGTTTTGGCCAGTCCATTAATACAAGCCCAACTAGATAAAGTAAAAAAATCCAATAATAACAAAAGGATGTTTGCATCAATTCTTCCGAGGTGGAAGATAAACTCGACTCCGTCGAGTAGACAAATCACAGCCGACCATAGTCGAGCTCCCAACCATAAGCAAGGTGGATGAACTCATGCCACGGGGAGGATCTTTTTTAAGAACCAAATATCAAAACCCCATGATTGATACTTGATAGCAATGAAAATTGTAGTTTATCCCCAAGAATATAATCCAACTAAGAGTGATCTCTCCTTTTTATCAAATACCGATATTGAACTCCAAATATCATCTCCAAAACCTTCAAGTGGTTGTGCATAATGTGGAGCATAAGAAGGTAGCATCGAAGACTGGCCTCACGAGACTTTTTCAGTCAAACAATGCCTTAATCGCGTTCACCACCAGCATCCATTAGCCGGCCACCCAATAAACCGCAACAACACCGATCGATAGTTGTACTCACCTATCTATACCTCAACTTCATATATCACCCCATTATCTTTCTTTAATCCGTCAATCGACTGTGCAACACCATCATCATTACTGGTTGCCAATACACCGCAGTTGCCTAATTCTTCCAAAAATTGATTGTTTGTTTCACTTCCTAGTGGCCGCTTCAACAACTGTTCGGCCTCTACTCTATTGGAAAGAAATGGAGATATAAACATCAACCCAATATGGCTAAAAGGCCAATACCCACCACCCAAAATTCATGTAGCCCACTACCCAAAATTCATTTGGTCCTTTTAAGTTTGGTTTTATGTATCATAGCTCCTTTTTGTAATTTTAAGCGGGTTTTGTTTGTTTGCTTATTAGATAGAAAAAAAAAAAAAAAAAAAAAAAAAAGGGGAAAAAAATTAAAAAAAAAATAAAAAAAAAAAAAAAAAAAAAAAGAATACAAACCCTACCTTCTTCTTCACCATCTTCATTCCATCATCAGCAAGGAAAAGCTATTGATCAATCTTAAAGGTGAGCTACTAGAAAAATTATCTTTTCATGTCATAGTTTACTACATTAAATGTTTAGTACAACATGGTATATTTAATTGAACATTTTAATCTCTTATTCATTGATGTGTTTTATTTTTGATATATTTTTTAAGGGAAAAAATACCAATATCCTCTAGAAAATGTGAAGGATTCTATATTTAACGAAGCATTAAGTTATTCCTTCTTTATTTGTGGGAAGATATTGTTATGTTGTAGGTGAGAATTGATTATCACCATTAATATTTTCAATAATATTTTTCAAACAATCAAACACATGTTTTTAAGCTTTTCCAAAAATTATGGCAGTTCAACTGTCGAACAAAAAAAAAAAAAAAAAAATTTTTTTTTTTTTTTTTTTTTTTTTTTTTTTTTTTTTTTTTTTTTTTTTTTTTTTTTTTTTTTTTTAAAAAAAAAAAAAAAAAAAAAAAAAAAACAATGGGGAAAAAATCTAAATAAAAATTGAAAAAAATAAAATAAAATGAATTTCATAAAATCATTTGCATGTAATATTTTTTTACTTCAATTAATTGATAGTCACTAAGAAAATTCAGTTGTCGCTTTGCCAAGCTTTGCTAGCTTGAAAATCGCAATTGGGGCATTATTTGACTCTTTTAAGTTTTGTGAGGCCAGTTTTCGATGTTAGCTTCTCGTGCTCCTCATTATGCACCACCATGGTAAGATTTTGGAGGTGAGTTTCATGTGTTTTTACTACTTAAAGTTTAGTATTGGTATTTGATATAAAGGAGAGATCATCCCCTTGGTTGGATCATATTCTTAGGGATAAGCTGTAGTTTTAATTCCTATCAATCATGGAGTTTCAATATTTGGTTAAGATTGTCCCCTGTGACATGAGTTCATCCACCTTGCTTATAATTGGGAGCTCAACTATAGCCATTTGTGATTTGTCCACTCGACAGAGTCGAGTTTATCTTCCACCTCGGAAGAATTGATGCGATGTTATTATTGGACCATTTTACTTTATCTAGTTGAGCTTATATTAATGGGTTGGCAAAAGTCCCCCGTCTTTAGGTTTATTTTTCTATTTAAAGCTTGTAATTGAACTTAGAAAGCAGATGATGAATTAGAATTGTGCTTGGCTTGTTGCCAACGTTTTCCTCCCCTGCTTCTTCCCTTCCCCTAGTTTTTTCTCAGGTTTTCTCCCTCTACTCTCTCTGGTCTTCTCCCCCTTTCTTGCTTCTCTCATTCCCTGTTTCTTCTTCTTGCTGTGGTTATCTTCTCCTCTGATGCTATTTTTGCTGCTGCTGCTGCTGCTTGTATTCTGTTTTTCCTAATTTTAATTCCCTCCTGGGAGCTTGATTCCTACATCATACTCTCTGTAAATTTCACCTAATTCACGACAAAATATTCAAGTATGCTTGTCTGGTTGTGCACTGTTGTCAAATTTGGTTTTGAAGTGGATAGTATTTGCTAGACTACAGAACACATGGTGTGGAAAGGGAAAATTTATTTTTTTCAGAGAGAGAGCAATCACATTACCACGTTCATTCACAAGGTACTGGTCCTGGATGAATAGCTTACATCAAGAAACAATATGAACTACAAAACACACAGAGTGATATATTAAGCGTCTGTTTGAGCCACATTATTTGAAAAAAATATATTTTTAAACAGTGATTTGATATCATTTCAATCACACATTCTTCAATAAAATAATATTACATGCGGATCAAAAACTTTTCCTTATTTTTTAACTGCACATTTCCCGTCAATACACTATTCAAGAATGCATTATTACCAAAATAATGTGACTCAAACACTCCCTAAATAAATGAACATTTTTTACTCTATAACTGTACAATCTCAAAGCATTTAATGAAGACATGTAAAATATGCAAATAATCTGAAACAATTACAATTTTCCAACTTCACTTTCTACGTTTATAGCTTATTCCTCAAGAACCAAATAAAACTGTCGCTACATGGTCGAACAACTATGATTTTTCCAACTTTACTTTCTGCTTTTACAGCTTACTCAAGAACCAAATAAAACTGCTGCTACGTGGTCGACCAACCAAGAACAAGAGACCTTCAGAGGAGTAATAGAGTTCTAGATCAGGCTATGGATATTCTGAGGCGAACAATCTGATTGAACATGTTGCAAAAATTTGATCGAACAAGTTGCTCGGAGATTTGGGAGAGAAACTTCCATCCAACGTGCCCTTCCACAATACGATTAGGAACATCAAAGCAGAGTGGTATGTTCCCAATCTACTCAGCCATAAGAGGCGAAAAAAGCTATAATGGATTATCAATATCTTGGCCTGTATTGTTAAAGATATTCTGAACCATATGGATCTATGATGTCGGTGTAGAACAAGGCCGCAAGGGTAAAATCTCCCATCCAACAGTCATGCCAGAAAAAATGTAATACTAACTCAACTCGGCACAATGTTTTGTTGCGTATGGAGCGATCGGCTTCAGTCATCACTGGACGAGTGAAGATTAACAAGGAACAGATGCCAACAAGGGCAAGTGCTAAGATATTATTTGACCAGCAGGAACTGAGGTCAAATGATCGTTGAGATAAAAAAATTCACCAAAGCTTTAGGGAGAGTGTAATATCCTACAATCTCCTAAGTTCGTAGCTACCTTCCTCTTTGAGGAGGTAAAGATCCTCACTTCCTCCTATGTGAATAATTTGACTAATCCTTGGAATTCCAAAGGAATTTAGTAAGCCTTTGTTTGGTAGGGATTAAAATTAGATTTTCAGTAAATTTTGATAAAAGTTGATAAAATATGTGGTTGAAAAGTTGTAGGATCTTAAAATATGTGATTGAAATAAATTGTTGACTTTGACTTATATTAAAATCTAAATTTTAATCGATACCAAACAGGGGGCTAAATATACTCTCCGACTTCTTCAAAACAATCTTGGGAGACTGCATAATCTGAAATAAAGAGTGGAATAGAGTAGAGAACATGTCTCAGTAAAGTAATTTGACCTTCGAGAGGCAATAGACTTAATGCTCAGTCTTGGCCCCCTGGGAGGCAGTAGCCTCAGCCCGATATTCTGCTCTTGACTTTATGAATGAGGTCATCATAAAGAATGATCCATCGAGCCCCTTTAAATAAAGGGACACCAAATAAGTGAAGGGCTATTGCTGATGATGAAAGTCTATCAAATGCTCAAGTCTCCTAATCTGACTGGTAGACTCCCAACATGGCAAAATAAGATCATTCTTGTCCTTGTTAACTAGTTGACCATAAACACTCTCATAGTGCTCAAGGCAGAAGCAATCTCTACATAAACTATTTCTGACCATTTGCAAATATGATCAAATATTCCATATTAGGGTAATTCTGAATTGGTGGGCAAGTATATGGGAGAAATATTTTGCAGTAATAATAAAAAGAGAGTGAGTGATAGGATCACCCTGTCAAAGACCACGGGAGAAATAGAAAAAACCACAAGTTCGTTCATTAGTAGCATCAAGAATCGACATCCAGAGATGCACCTGCTGATTCGATTAATTCAAATATGATCCAAGAAACCTCAGTCCATGCGGTCATATGCCTTAACCATATCAAGTTTAAGGACAACATTACCTCACCACGCTCTCAAATTAAGATTATAAAGAAGCTCCTGAACCAGGAGGACATTACTTACTGCGAGCAAAATAATTTAGCACCGCCTGAAACACATCATCATGAACAGGGAGGGAAAATGTATGTTGCGGTTGATTAGAAAGGATTTAAGTCAGGAGTTTCACTAGCATTTTATTTAATTATGGAGCTAGGAACGGGCCATTTTGAATCATTGCGAAATGGCTTTTCCATTTCCAGTGTTTGGTTGCTGACGGGGAAACCAAATGAAAATCATCCTAGCACCATCATGCCACTAATCCTTGTACATATTAAAAATGTAAACACTAGAAGGAAAAAATAATTTAACAAACAAATCAACACAATACATGAATATTAGATAAGTCATAAATTCAAAACCCTAATATTTCTGTAATTGTTCTTGGAATTTACAGAAAAGGCCATTCCTAATGAAAGGATTTTCCCAACTAAACTTCATCCTATCATATTCCTTTGTGGAAGTTTTCCTTGTAAAAAAAAAATAAAAATTTAATCCTATCATGCAGTGGGCATGAAAGAGCTAGAATAGCCTTTTCATTGTATGCAATTCCATAAAACAAACATGGTATTGCCTCATATATTCACTACCTAGCTATACACAACAAAGAAACTGGGTTTAAGTTAAGAAATTTGGATGTGACGTGGCTTTTAAATAAGCGTACCCGATTTTATTGCCATTCATTTCTTGTAGATATGATTTGGCTGAGAATCTTTTTATTAATATCTAGGTATCAAGCGTCTGCTACATGTAAATTATGGAAAAAGGATTGTAATAGGTGAGTATCTTCGCATACATTATCGTTTTTAAAATGGAAACTAGTTTACCCATTTTTAACCTCATGAAACATACATGTTTCAGGGCCCTGTCATCTGTTAAAGCCACCAATGATGAAGAGGCTGCTGCCAGAGTCACTGCAGTAGATGCCGATACAGGGGCACCCACTATGTATTAACCTCTTAACCTGATAGTGATTATGCTTTGATTTATTTAATCATCTAAGTTTAAATTGTGAATACTATCCAAAATTTCAGCTGTGCATATGCTTCAGTAATTTAGCCTCTTCACATTTTTTCTTTCTTTACAATTTTCTCTTGCAAGTTCTAATTCATCATCTTTTTAGAATGGTCACAATAATTGTGTAATATTCGGATAATGAGGTATTCTCTACTGACATTCGTGGATCATGAGCATTAGATGCTTAGCTAACCGAGCATTTTTACATAAAATTTCAAGGCAGTCAAACAATTATTTTATTGCCATTATTCAACAGTCCTAATTTTCATTCATTTTGAAAAATGGTGTCTGTATATACGTTTGCACTATACTAACAGACTGGAAATATTTTGTATTGGGAGTATATGGAAAAAGTTGTGAGAAAGACATTTATTTGGTATTCAATATCTTACAATTCTTTTGTATGGCATGGGTTAAAGAGAGGTTTAAGTAAATCAGATGTATCTTCTTATTTTTTAAGACGCTCAAAGCATTTTACTCTGTACTCTGTGACCAACAGATGTCAAAAGTATTTCTATACTTGGTTAGCATCAATATAGTTATAAACTACATATCTCCAAGATTGCATGTTTAATTGTTAACCTGAGTATTATGTGATGCTATGCTTTCTTCATCTATTCTAGATTTGACAAGATAATTGCAAAGGAGATCCCTTCGTCCATAGTATATGAGGATGATAAGGTCCTTGCTTTTCGGGATATTAGCCCACAAGCTCCTGTCCATGTTCTTATTATTCCAAAATTTAGGGATGGTTTAACACAGCTTGGCAAGGTAATTTTCTTGTTCTTGCTTAAGCTGAGCCTCTAGTAGTTGAATAACACTAGTCATTATCAGCATTTTGGTAGGAAAAAACTTAAGTCATATTTACCTAGCATAATTTTGATTTGAATGATCCAAGATAAACAGACAAATTTGCACCTGGTGGTGACAGTTAATCATCATCAGAGTAGAGGACAGCTACAAGTCAAAAAGTGCTTACATGTTTTTTTATTTTATTTTTTATTTTTCATTCTTCATGTTAGTACCGTCACTAGAAAGGAAGAGAAAAATTGTGAGTGAAATCTTGGATGTGTCTCAGTGGATGTATTTTAATAAGATCTTGATGTTTAGTAGGCTGAACAAAGACACGGGGAGGTATTGGGTCACCTTCTTTATGCGGCAAAATTAGTGGCGGAGAAAGAGGGCATTGTTGATGGTTTTCGTGTTGTTATTAACAGTGGTCCATCAGCTTGTAAGCACCTCTCTCTCTCTGTGTGCGCATGCATGTATATGTGCTCGTGCACATATATGAATTCACATACCAGAATAAAAATTATGACATGAAAGTGCTCACTTCCTTACTCTCATGAGAGGGAAAAAGACATCATCATACAACTCTGCAGGATTGAAAAATTTTAACAGATTGTTGTTACATTCATTCTCTTTTGGATAGGAATAAATGACCTTTCAAGTGCTATGATCATGCCTTGTCAATCAACTCTATAGTCCAATTGTGCATTCAGCATATTCTATATAAAATTATTAGTAAAAATAATACTTGAAGGATATACACCAATACTGGGCTTACTCACTCTTTCTTTCTCTAGGTCAATCTGTTTATCATCTTCACTTGCATGTACTTGGAGGGAGACAGATGAAATGGCCCCCAGGTTAAGATACAGATTCAGATGCCTAAAGTTTCTTGGTTTTGGGGTTTCGTCAGTTGCACTCTCTCCCCAAGAATCCAGTACCTTTAAGCTCTTAATAGCATAAGTTTTTCTTCTGAAGCCAAGATGGCATATTATGTGTTGAAACTGTGAAAATATACCCACTTCTGTAGTTGGTCTAATAAATTCCTGTATAATCTGAGGGATTACGAGTCATTGGTTTGATTTCGATCCATAGTATTCTGTTCCCATTAGCTCGTTGATGTGATCGTGCAAACTAGTTTTACAGTGCCGGGTCTCTTTCCAAAGCGTACGTTGTGGCATGCTGTCGGTATTCTGTATCAATCATTGTTTATGTTAATATATAAAGGTGGTTCCCGTTAAAAGAGGTCATAAAACATGAAGAATAGGGTATAAAATAGGAATACAGGAAACGAGACTGGAATTTCAGTTTGTACTGAGCAAATCATTTATAGGTACATCAAGAAATCAACTGAGCTTTTAACTATGGAATAGAAGTGAAATTCGTTACCCAGTTTCTCAATATAAATAAGTAGGAAAAAACTAGTTTTCCAGGGCCACATGGACCCTGGATGGAAAGGGGGGCCAAATGGCGCCTGACAGGGCCCCCCACCTATAGGGGGCAGCATTTGGCACCCTGGACGTATAGCATCTCTCAAATAAGTATTGTAGGAGGATTGAGGTGATTCTGCTCAGCCTGATCAAGACATCTCCTAGCCTCGAGGAGTGGGCAATTTTCCACGAGGAATTAGGTACAATGAATAATTCCGTTAAAATCTGAAAATAAGATTATAATATCTGAGATTTGCAGTGACCAAAAATCTGGTTCGAGCATAGCATCGTGAAATCATAGTATCGCTTGAACCGCTGACTGGTTTGAGCAAAGACATGAGCAATCTGGTTCAGCCAATTCCCGCACCACAATTCTTTTGTCACGATTGGTCATTAGCTTGATAAGAGGTAGTTTCGAAGTGACTTGGCGCCAGATTTCTTTCACAGTTCCATTCGGATCCTCATATTGAAAGTATCGTTTTACCTATATATCAAATAAAAAATTTTAGTACCGAAAATTCAGACAAGTAAAAAAATTGACTTTTCATAGGATAAGCAGAAATTTAAGCTCATAATATCTTAAGAATGTTAAGCTGAGAATATCATAACCTTAATCAAGTCAATCTTAAACTAAAGTAAAAAATATTCTAAATGGCTAGGAGAACTATAGAAAGAGCTATCTCCAACGAATTTTGCCACTTGTACATCACTTTTTGCCATCCTCGTCGACAGAAAGTGCGTTGGCAAAAACTATTGGATGAAAAAACAGATTTTTTTGAAACTGTCCAATGACAGAATGGCATTCTGTCAAGGAAGATGTACACCAAGCATGATTGATCTCCAGCACATGCTAGAAGAAACTATTCAGAGTATATGTAAATACCTTTTTCAACTCTTTTTGTAATTCCAAAACAGATTTTTTTGAAACTGTCCAATGACAGAATGGCATTCTGTCAAGGAAGATGTACACCAAGCATGATTGATCTCCAGCACATGCTAGAAGAAACTATTCAGAGTATATGTAAATACCTTTTTCAACTCTTTTTGTAATTCCAAAATTCTCTTTGTGCTCACCCTTCTTAAGGATTTAACCAAGTATCCAGGCTTAACAGCTGTGTTGGTATCCACGAAAACAGCAATATTTTTGTAGTTTATAACATCTTCGAAAGGCAACTCAATGTAATCGCTTACAATAACAGGAATACACAAGCTGACAATAGCATCAAAAAGTCGACAAGCTGATGGAGTATCACCAGCTGGATGCAAACAGAATTTTGAAGTGTGCATTCCTTGTGTTGCTGCGCGTCGACTCTCTCTGGACTGGGCACCATGTTTTATAATAACATCCTTCTCCTTCTCAAGCACTTGAAAAAGCAAGTCACGAATCTTCCCACCCTGCATTTCAAATAATACAAATATAATAAATTCGTGTGTACGACCACATTAATGCAGCCATATTGCCACACGCTGTCAAACAAACAGCAAATGATTAAGTAAACAAGTGATTCCAGTGAGGCAAAAAGGCTGGAATTCAGAATTTAGAAAAGGAGCAGAAATGATCAAAGTTCTTTCAAATTCTCATAATCACAAACTACTTCATCAATATGAAGCATTACAACCGATCTAAAGAGCATATTTCCATAATTTCAATATATTACAGATATTTAAACTTACAAATGCAGACATAAACCAAATATGCTTGAAAAATTATAATGCTAGTATAATACCACTGTAAGATAAATTAGACCGAGGACTGATTTGAGCAGAAGAATATCGTCAAAGGAAAATGCATTATTCTAAATACTCTTCTTTTAAACTTGATTTTCTAGAGATGTTTAGTGCATGCACCAGAGCCCTTTTTTATCTTGCACAGATGCAAGTTTTGAAACTCATGGCCACTCATTGACAAATGAGCAGCTTCAACTCTCATTTGATACTGGAACAAAAAGATGTGAGCAATCACCGTATCCTACCAGCTTGGAGTGTTCACAAGATAATATTATTCCTTCCAAAACCCTAGGGATTGTAATTAATACATGGATAAGCTATCTTAAGAGAGTGGTTGACGCCTTCTTCTGTGCAAGGATATCAAAAATTTCAAGAAAGAAACACACAACAATTCAGTTGGCAGATAAAGCAGAAAACCAGAATCAAGAATCTGATAGGACTCAAAAGGCATGTATACTTGATTCTGTAACTCTGCAGACTACATTTCATTAAAAAATTATGCATACTTGATTCTGTATATCAAGAATCTGATTGGACATTAAAAAAAATAAAAAAATAAATAAATAATAAATAAATAAAAATAAAATAAAATTATATGCATACTTAATCTGAAACTCTACAGACTGCATTTCATCTTTTCACAATACCAGTTAAGATCACAGAATAACTCAATATAAAAACTAGAAGTTCAGGATTGTGCTTTGAACCTGACAAAAAAAACTGCCTGTCATTTATAATAAAAATATATTTAACCGACCTTAAGCCTACTGATATCAAACTATCAACGTTAACAATATTAAAAACAGGTCAAGTATTTCTTTTGATAAGAAAATCAGAAGAACAATTCAAATTCACTTCCCAATTTTTTGGGAAGTGCAGAATTTTCCCATCCTGAACGCATGCACTAAATATGTTTAGTTCAACCAAACTGATGTTTACAATTTGGTCTGTATACCTAAAAGCTAAAAAATTTAAGTGGTCTCTGTACCTTATCCTTTGTCATATGACTAACGAATAAATTCAAGACAAGATAATGATCCATGGATATAAAATTTCACAAGTCACAGGAGTGGGATATAAAATTTCACAAGTCACAGGAGTATATTGCAACTTATGATGAACTGAAATAGGGAAAATGATATAATTGCCAAAAGATCATTACCTCTTTTCTATATCGATTTCCCATAAAGAACAGCAGTGACTTGCGATTCCCAACCCCTATATCCCCATTGTATGTATTAATGCGATGTGAATATGGCAAGATCACATCCTTAACAAGTGATGCTTGATTGTGAGCCAACCTCCCAAAATCGGAAACCAAAAGCACCCCATTCTTCACCCGATCAATAATCTTGTATAACGCATTGGGATCCTGACATATGAATACATGATCCCATCCATTATTCCTCTTCCAGTACACCTGCTCCTCCAGCCACTCCATCAAAGCCTCCTGCATCAGAAATCTCCATTGACATAAGAGCTCATCTTCATGGATCGGTCAGAAGGTAGAATCTTGAAGCACAACTTACCATATGTTAGTTCGTACTTCATACTACACTTGCTGCATCTTGCCTCTTTTTGGAGAGTATTGTCTGGCTAACAGAGGCAAGGTACAAGTATTGAAGTACGACGTACAATGAATAATTTTGTACTACTACATTATCCAAGTTGAAGATCCAAAAACACACGCAGAATTCAAAACGGATAATCTTTGAAGCTCAAAAAAAAAAAAAAAAAAAAAAAAAAAAAAAAAAAAAAGGATGCTATACCTGCATTTGCTCATCGTTGTACGTAGGTCTATCCGCAGGACCATTTGCATTGGCGGGTCGGATCGGGTTGACCACGAGGCTTAGTGACGAGAAAAACGGCACATAGAAAAGATCAGCATCCTCCGGGTCGATAACCCGAGTCACGGCGGAGTTTGTACGGTTTTCACTCGGCCGATTTAAATCAGAGAACAAGTACCACTCAGCCGAGTGCTGGTTCCCCGGATACTTCAACAGTACGTCGTTCTGCACCGGCTTACCTCCACGCGCCGCCGCGTAGCTCTCTATCACCCCGTATGTAAATCTCCTCGGCAAGTCATACATATATATTTTCACCTTATTAACGTTAGAATAATCGGTGTCAAATTTATTATGTAAATTAGAATTATTATTGCTGTAATCGGGAGGAGTGTAGAAGAGGAAGGTGTAGAGGGCAAAGATGGCGAGAAGGGAAGCGAGGACAAGAGTGGGTTTTATGTATGATTTCCGGGGCATTTTGATAATCGTTTTAGCTTTCTCCCTGTTCAGATTTGGTGAGGTTGGCGGAGAAGGAGATGATGCGGCGGAGGACGGTGGCGGCGATCTGAGCTTGGGCCGTTGATTCATTGTGAATAGATGGCATGATTTTACGCGTTAATTTTACACACAGAACATGATTTCACGCGTCAACTCACATAGGACATTAACGCACAGAGTCTAGAGTTAATTGTCACAATGATCATTATATTTGTGTAGCGTTGAATGAAAGAATTTTAAAAACTAAACTTATTCAAAAGTTGACCGCTATTGACTATCATAAAATCTGTTTCAAACCTTTAATGAAATTGATGATGTGGTTAACGAAATACATAGGTGATGCCCGTCACACCATTACCAAATTGTCACATAAGGAAACGTCTTTTATTGTTCACCAAACTTTGAAAAATATTTTTGATTGTTCACTGAACTTTGAGATGTTCGAATATTGATCACTAAACTTATAAAAATGATCGTGTCATGTTGTTCATTTAAAAGTATGTACTGCAAGTGCATGTGTTATGTACAAGGGTTAAAGTGGACAAACGAGTTCGGATTATCGATCCAACAAGAAATGGTTACTCAATCACGCAATGTTTATATATAATTTTAAAAACAAAACAAACAATAAATTTGTTTAAAACAAGTGTACTTGCGATACAATTTTTTTTTTAATGAACAACAGGTAGACATCCTTTTTATAATTTTAGTAACCAAAATTCGATCACTTCAATGTTCAATGAACATGTCAGTCATTTTTCAAAATATGTAGTAAGCAGCTGAAAAGTTTTTCAAAATTTGGTAAATAATAAAAGATGCTTTCTTACACGACAATTTGGTAAAGCCGTTACAAGTTGTTTATCAATCTTATAAGTTAAGCAATTTTTCTAAAATGATCTTCTAATGAAAACATAATGAAAATCTTGTAAGGATGCAAAATTGTAGATGGCACCAAGAAGCATTTATTTAACAAAGCAATATATCGTCTACTGAGAATTTGCTTAATCATGTACAACGAAATTTAAATAAAATTTCAATTCCCATTAAGGATCTGATTTGTGTTTCGATAGAAATTGTGATAAAACTCATACTTTTGTTGAATTATGCAAATTTCTTTGCTTTTCTTGAACTCCAATAATCACATTCTGAAATCCATAACTGTCCAATTGTCCAACATTCAATAAAAATCTATATATAAAAAAAAGAATGAGAGAACTAGGATTTTTTACTTTTTTTACACTAGCAAAAATATGAATTTTCTCTCTGCAGTTTTTCAAACTCTAGCACCTTATTTATATAAGCCCACACGGGATTAGCTCATCTCATAACTTAATCCGGCCAAATATTTAATTAATTCAATTAATTAAATTTGGTCCATAAATTAATTAATCCAATTAATTTAATTCGGACTATTAATAAGCAACTCAATTAATTAATTAATTAATAAGTGTTGGATAATTAGTTAATTGGTGAATCTTATTCTTCTAGTTCTCCTTTATTCTGCGACCCATTAGGTTTTCAATTACGATACTTAACGACGTGAATTATTAATTTGATATAATCAAAATCGATAAATTAAAATGCATTTTTAATTTATCATCAATTCACATTTCTCGTCCCAGATTAACATCTAGCAATGTGTTAGGACAATACATGTAAGAAAAATGTCACGTGGTATGACAAAACCAAACTTGTTCGTTTATTGTGAAATTATAATCATTTTATCAATATGATCTGATCAATTACAAGATACCGATATGTGTCAATTTCAATTATCGGTCATATCTTTCATTCTATTATTAAGTTAATATAAGTCGAAACATTTTTCAACTTATGAATACACCTTGCCCAATGATTTGATTATCAACTTAATTGAACAAAATGTGGATCATAATTTTTTTACTATCTAAGAGTGATGAATCCTCTATTGGTCATTCATTCATAACTTTTATATGATTATTGACATACTCTAATGATACCTATTAGCAGCCCTTGGCAGAGTAATATCCAACATCATCAAAGTATGATTGTCCTCATATAAGATACTATGATGACCTCAAGTCGAATGACTCAATCCATTATTGCACTTTACAGATTAACTACTGACACTCAGATAAGTTATCCATGTGAAATCTCCTAGTGGGTCTCCAATGTTTTGTTCTATAACAAAACATCCACATATTCATTTAAGTATCACTACACTTTAACTTGTGAAATAAGCTTCATAAGTAAGAAGTGCTACACGTAATAGTCTATCTATAATAATGATATATGTATCTCATTATTAGTTACGACGATGGATGATTTAAGATTCAATCATGTATAATTTGTATATCACAATTATAACTCTTTGTGATTAACAAATTATGAAAACTTGAATCTACAAACTTTCTTATTTAATTTAATTGAGTATTAATTAAATAATAAATTTTCTATAAAATTGCATCAATTATATGTTAAAAGTGTTTTTGTCTAAATTTGATTGGGCGTGGGACATAACATTTACAAACTCTCACTTGTAATAGATCCAATCACTTATGTATCTAATATAATAAGAGTTTACATGACATTCATGTTTATACTGTGATAATTTTTTGTCAATGGATCTGCGATATTTTCAATTACAGGAATTCATTTTTTCTTTGCGTCATTTCTTTGTATTATCACTCTAATGAGATGATATCGCTTTAACATATGTTTGAACCATTGATGAGACCTTATTTCCTTTGTTTACATGATGGTTCTATTGTTATCACAATGCAGAAGTTTGTGATCAACAATGTTAGGAACTACTTGAAGTTCATTAATGAACTTTTTAATCTAGACTGCAATTCTTTGCTGCTTTTAAAGCAATGGTGTATTAGGCTTTTGCTATTGAATGGTTGTTTCAAGTTTGGAACATTTCCAACTGTCTAAGAATAAACACATGTCCAGATTGAGACTTGCCATTTTTCTAATGGCATAAATATCATGAATGTGGAGCACTCATCAATGTGCCCTTTAGTCTAAGCGTTCCTTTTTGATTACTCATTGCCACCATTGGGTTGGTAGTATGGATTGTTCGATCATGCCCACCATTAAACTTATGAGTCAACATGTTCTTCTGTGGAAGATGTACTTATATTTCGATATATCACCTTTGCGCGAGCATAATAAACAGCCCTTCCAATCTACTTTTCAATAAGCATCTTCCATTGCTTTCAGGTGAAAAAAGTCACTCCTGTTGCTGACTTTCTGTAGGTTAGGGGCCCTCTTTTGCCTTGTACTAGTAATGTGATTTCTTCGAAGCCAATCGTGCCTAAGGTAAGGAGAACGGTTTTCTCTTTACCGTTAAGTCGGCGGCTGGCCTGGTTGTTTAATACACGACATAGGATAAAGAAAGAGGACTTTTTTTTTTTATCTAAAGGTAGGTCGGTTATCTTATTCGCAAGGAAGTGAGAATCAAAAGAGAATTAAATGGCTAAAGCCCATTCCAGGAATCAGAACTGGAACAAGAAACCAAACCCGATCCCCATGCTTACCCAATAACTCAGTTTATATGACATAGGCATCGACGACAGTAGCCCTGTGTCGAGCTGACAGACCAATAAAAACAAAGGTGTCGCCCTAAAGTAAAGGGAATTTAGGGCTCTTAGTTCCAAAAATATTCTACAACTTAGCTGGCCGAAGACCAAGTTAGTCTAACCCAATCAATGCACGAATTTATGTTCTCAGTATGAGTTTTTTTCTTTCTTCATTGGATGAGTTGGGATTAGAAAAAAGTCTCCATAGGTCAGTTACTCCCCTTTTCGTTCAATCTTAACTATGCCATGCCAAGGGTTATCGAAGAACTAACCTTTTGCCTTTCCCTTGCTTAGGTTAAAAGAAAAAAATGTAAAATAAAGGAAATGACAACTAAAATGGCAATATGAGATAGGAGAGAGCTGACCCAGCAACGACATAGAAAAGATGTGATTTGATAATTTGTGTAAAAGAAAGATGATCAGGCACTAATACAGATATGGATTACACTTCATGTCGATCTACTAGATCAACTTCTACCTACCCCGATGGGTCAAAGATCGTCGAGAGTGTTTTTTCTTCAACGGAGGCTAGCCTATTATTCCACCACCTATATCCATAAAAAGTGAGAGCGAACTTGGTTTTCCAGCACCTGGCTATTTTCCCTGTCCAGTCTCCCCAGTTGGGCCAAGCTAATGAGATTCAGGTTCAGCCCATTTGTAGTAAATGATGCTTAAACAGTATCATTATTTTATAACATTGATGAAAGAAAACCTATAATAGTTATTCATTCCTCCCCAAGGGGTACTTTATTGATCAGGAGAAAGGTCTACTTTTTCCTCCTTATAATATAGGGTTTGTTAGCATTGCTACCGCATTTGTTACTCTGTTGTCTGCTACCCTTAATTTTATAATGCCTTCTGTCAGTATGATTGAATATGTTTCCCAGCTCCCAATCTTTCTAAACAGCAAAGGTTCTAATAAATTTAGCTTTATCATGCCTAGTTTGGGGTTAGAATTCGTATAGGTAGGTAGAGATGGCTGCAGTATCCGACCGAGTCCCAGTGGTAGAGTCTTAAAGCATGAATCTAATGGCAAGAGAATCAGTGGCTTATCACCATTCCTTAGTCGCAATTCTCTAACCCAGCAGTTTTCCATTTGAATTCACCAATCAATGACTGAGCTGTGATTACAAGGTAATATTTCAAGCTAAAGTAGGGGCAGCAGCGATGAAGTTGAGAGCCAGGGATAGGAGCAGGGCACCCTGGTTACTATTACCCATAGCATCACTAGAGGCATAGGCAGTCAGAAATCAAAATCGTGTTCAATCTTTCTCAAGCTATCAAATCAACAAGGGTTCTAGAATAGTCAAGGCTATTCGATAAAGGATGGCTGGCATTCATTAGTATGTGGATCTGCTGTGTGGTTTGGTTTAGCGACTTGATGATTGGCACTTTCCATTGAAAAACCAATTGTAGTGCTTTATGCAGTGGGGTACCACGATAGAACGTCATCGGAATGCCCTAATATGAGAAAGCCATTTCGGGTGCGACAGATCAACAATCCTAATTATTACACGAACTTTGTGCAATTGCAAAAGACAAGTGAACTAGGCAAAACATAATGCTTTGTGGAAGGTTCTTGATCCATTTGCTATTCTAGCTCAGTGACATAAAGGAACAAGACCACAAAATAGA